TCAATATATTATCCCTATATATTTTCCTTCTACAGGGCTTCAATCTCAAATATTACTCTTAATTTTGTATTTGAAAAGCTTATCAGTAAAAATTGACCTGTTTTCTGGTGTTGCATTGCTTTTTTGGTTTTTTTTTTTTTTTTTGATGCTCCATCGCTGGAAGAGATTGGACAACCATTTGTCAGAAATGGTATAAGGCAGTGATGAGGAACCTTTTAGAGACCGAGTGCCCAAACTGCAACCCAAAATACACTTATGTATTATCGGGTGCCAGGTGGGCGTGGCCCATTGGATGGATGTGGCCAATTGGGTGGGCATGGCCCAGTGGGTGGGCATGGCTGCGGTGGTAACGGCAGACTGGGTGGGACTAAAAAGTTCAATCAATCAATTCCAACTCTGCGAGATCTTTTTTTTCCCCGCAAGAAGTTGAAATTGATTGATTGATTGAACTTTTTTTTTTTTTGCACACTGCAGCGGAGGCATAAAATGAAAAGGTTTTATAAAACCCAGCTGAAGGCCTAGGACTGGGTGACGGCACCCGTGCCAACAGAGAGGGCTCTGTGTGCCACCTGTGACACACGTGCCATAGGTCAGTGATGGCGAATCTTTTAGAGATCGAGTGCCCAAACTGCAACTGAAAACCCATTTATCGCCAGGTGCTAGGTGGGCGTGGCCCACTGGGTGGGCATAGCTATGGTGGTCATGGCAGATTGGGTGGGTATGTCCAAGGTGGGCGAGGTCACCTCGATGTTGATTATGGGGAGGGACACCTGTGGGGGCTGGGCAGGATCAGGGGAGATCCAGGGGGTCTCTGGCAGGTGGGGCGGTGGGCAGGAGGCTCGTCCTGCAGAGTGAGGTGAGGTAAGGCAAGGCAGGGCGGGGGTGCCATTGTTGCAGGGAAAGGCTAGGCAGGGGCCGGGGCGGTTGCTGCCTGACACCATCAGCCCCCATACACAGAAGCCAGCGAGCGCATGGGGGCTGACAGTGTCTGTCAGCAGCTCTGCAGCCCACCACCAGAAGCTGCCTCTGAGCTGGATGGCCAGCCAACAGCTGAGGAGCTGATGCAGTGGATTGTGCCTGGGAAAAGGAGAGCATGCAAGGCCAGGAGGGATGGGACGGGGGAGGGAAACCAGCCATGCTGGGATGCATCCGGCCATGTTGGATCTTGGTGAATTAGCGGGCAGCTGGTTGAAGAGGGACAGTTGCCATCTCCAGGGCATGGCGCATGTGCCCATAGATAGGGCTCTGAGTGCCACCTCTGGCACGCGTGCCATAGGTTTGCCACCACTGGTATAAGGTCTCCTGCTTGAGCAGAGGTTGGACTAGAAGACCTCCAAATGTTATTCTCTTTTCTTCTGGATGTTGGCACAATGATGTCAAATAAATGCTGGAAGAACTACTACATGTGCGTCCTTACCTGACAGAAAATGCAAACTGAATGTTTGGGTAACCTACGGAAGGCAATAATGGAACCTTACAAAAGAAACCATATTTAACATCTAAAAGCATTAAGGACTATAGGTATAATCACAAATATATTACTCTTGAGCAAAAGCTATTATGGAGTAGTATCTTGTGACCTCCAGACAGTCTTTTCATAACTGTGACCAGCTAAAAGCCAGAAAGCTAGTTCAATGTTATGGTAGATGAAAATACTGTACTGTAGATTATTATTAATGTCTCTTTGATTGATGTTTTTAGCTCCCCAGGATTGTTTTAAGAGATAGCCATTTACGTTGAATAAAATAAATGCAAAAGTAAATATTACATATTGTTGTTTAGAAAATTCAGCTCTGAGCAGCTGACAGTAGCAAGGATTTGCATCTGCACATGAAGAATTTGGGCAAGAGTGTGGTCCTTTTTTGTATTTTACTTTCATTGAGCTTTATTGTAAAGTAAATACAATGTGTTACAATTGTATTTTTAAAGAAGGGGGGGAAAGAGAAGGATTAAAAAAAGAGAAAATTAAAGAAGCATTGACTTCTGAGTCTTTCCAGCAGAGTAAAATACTAACTACATTTACAGCCTCAACTTTTGCATTGCTTTGAGTTATTACAAGACTGCAGTTTTAGTTGCATGACCTCCGAGAGGCGACCTTCTCAAGAATAGCAGTGGAATTGTACACAATGTTCTTCACCTGCTTTTACTCAGACAGTACTGAGCTCTTAGAAAGTATTTTTCCCATTTCCCCTTTTTTCCTCCTATTCTGATTTCTTCTGTTGGCTCATTGCCTCAAGGCTTTGTTTTGTAAATGTGTAAACTGCTGGAGCAAGCTTCCCATCGTTGACAGGAATTTATAATAATAATAATAATAATAATAATAATAATAATAATAATAATAATAACAATAATAATAATAATAGTAAAGTTGGAAGGGACCTTGGAGGTCATCTAGTCCAACCCCCTGCCCAGGCAGGAAACCCTACACCATTTCGGACAAATGGCTGTCCAGTCTCTTCTTAAAGTGTTGGAGCATTTACTGCTTCTGGAGGCAGGTTGTTCCACTGATTAACTGTTCTCACTGTCAGGAAGTTTCTCCTTAGTTCTAGGTTGCTTCTCTCCTTGCTTAGTTTCCACCCATTGTTTCTTGTTCTGCCTTCAGGTGCTTTGGAAAATAGCTTGATTCCCTCTTCTTTATGGCAGCCCCTGAGATATTGGAATACTGCTATCATGTCCCCCCTTGTCCTTCTCTTCGTTAAACTAGACAAACCCAATTCTAGCAATGGTTCCTTATATGTTTTAGCCTCCAGTCCTCTAATCATCTTGTTGCTCTTCTCTGTACTCTTTCTAGAGTCTCAACATCTTTTTTACATCGTGGTGACCAAAACTGGATGCAGTATTCCAAGTGTGGCCTTACCGAGGCATTGTAGAGTGCCATTAATACTTCACGTGATCTTGATTCTATCCCTCTGTTAATGAAGCCTAGCACTGTGTTGGCCTTTTTGGCAGCTGCAGCACATTGCTGGCTCATATTTAGGTGACTGTCTACTAGGACTCCGAGGTCCCTCTCACAGTTACTACCATTGAGCATGGTGCCACCTATGCTGTACTTGTGCATTTGGTTTTTCTTGCCTAAATGTAGAACCTTGCTTTTTTCACCATTGAATTTCATTTTGTTAGTTAGTGCCCAGTGTTCAAGTCTGTCCAGATCCTTCTGTACTTCTCTCCTTTGCCTGAAGGTAGACCTTATATTGATTTATTAGTTGTGAATCATGTTTATGTATTTGTCACCTTGTTTGCCACCTCTATTTTATAGTTATTTTATAAGGTTTACACATCAGATTTAAATTTTTAAGTAAATAATAACTGAAACCAAACCAAAGAAAAATATCCCAAAAGTATCACAAAAAATAACAATGCAGCATATTTCCCATGAAACTGTAATAAGGGAGCAAAGATGTCAAGATTCCGACTAATGAAACCAAATAAATCAGAACTCCAAGGCTTGAAGCTTCCTGAAAGCATATGTTTATTTGATACATAATATTTGCACGATCAAAAGTGAAACCAACTCTGAAATTCCCCTAGAGCTTCTATGTAACTAAAACTAACAATTCCCCCCCCCCCCCTACTGTGCTATAGATCATACAACCCAATGAAAGTAATTGGCGGGCTCATCAATTTGTCGTTGCTCCTCCTTCCAGCACCTGCAGTAATGACATTGGTTCCCACAGTTTGGTGTTATGACTTTTATTCCCCCCCATCTCCCCCCCATCTATATGGCAACTTAGAATGACAAAGATGGCTTCAACCAGGCTTGTTTCAGAATTTGACAAAAGTATTACATCCTATTCATAATCTGATGAAGCAGCCAGTTTTTTATGGTTTCGTGGAAGCCCATAAAGGTTGGATTGGGCCATGCGGCTCTCAGAGGATATAGAATTACAGAATAACAAAGTTGGAAGGGACCTTGGAGATTTTCTAGTCCAACCCCCTGCTCAAACAGGAGATCCTATACTATTCTGGACAAATGCCTTGCCCAATTTCTTCTTTAAAATCTTTAGCTATGGAGCATCTGTAACTTCTGAAGGCAAGCCATTCCACTGATTCTCACTCACAGGAAATGTCTCCTTAATTCTAGGTTAGATCTCATTTTATGAAGCTTCCATCCATTACTTCTTGTTTTGCCTTCAGGTGGATCCCCCCTTCCTCTCTGTGTTCCTTCAAATATTGGAACACTGATATCATGTTACCCTTAGACCTTCTTTTCGTTAACTAGACATTCCCACTTCCTACAACTCTGTTCTCAAAACTCTGTTCTGCAGTGCAGCTACTGAGAAGACCTATCTTCTAGGTCTTACATTGCCTTATAGTTGGAACTTGAAGTGCATCAGTTCTTCCAGATGTTAATGATCAGGCAGAAGGAATAAGAGAAAGAAGGTCCCATTATAATCAATCCCTCTTCAATTCCTAAGGACTCTAAATTTACTGTAGTGTGGATTTTTTTTTCAAAGCATGGACAGCCTTAATGTTTAGGCATTGGCACTAGACATAAAGGATTTCTTTCCAGTCTGTATAATTTTCACTGCAAAAAGAAAGGAATCCTGAACCATAACTCTTTTAACAAGTTACACGAAGATGCTTAAGACATTTAATATGCACACTAGGCAACAATAAATCACTGGCACTGATTTATCAAGATGTACTGTAGGCGGCAGTGTCTGGCCAACTTTGGCTGATCTTGTAAAAGCTAAACAGACTCTGATTCTGATTTGGAAACTACCAGGAAATCTCAGGGCTGTAGGCTAGACTGCAAAATTGCCACTGCTTTATTTCATGATATTTTTTCAATCTATTTCCATTACAGTGCAAAGAAACTTACATTAGCATGTTTGTGTAATCTCTAGGAACTGGGTTTAACTAGAGGGATTTTTTTTTTATTTTTGGAAACAGTGGGAACAAATAAGAGCTGCATTGCAAGTTAAATGTAAACCAAGCATATTTTCAAAATCAATTGTTGCTATGTTTGAAACCTTGAGGCTGAACAAGAATTTTTCTCCAAATTTATTTCAGTTCAACATACAACTTGTTTGGGCATTCAGAAATCCTAACTACAGGGAGAAATATATCAGCTCAGCTATTTTCAACTTTTCCAAGTTTAGAGAAAAAGTTTAGACATAAGCTATAATCATCTTTTATTAAAAGAGTTTATATAACTCCTGGCTTTTGAGAACCATAACAATCAGTGTCTTCTTTCCATAGGGTATTGTAATAATATTCAACTGAAAGCTGTAATAACCTATTCTCAACATTTTCTATCAGCATGAGAAGTTTAAAGGGAACCATCTCTCCTCCACATTTCCAGTGTCTAAAACAGAGGTATTTTCAACTTTTGAACAAATAGTACATCAAATTATTATATATAATTGATAAGTGAGTTAGGCTTACTTTTTTGTAGAGAGCTTGTTTTTTTTCCTTTTAGACATCTGGACTCCAACTCACTTAATCAGAGAATCTGATGTGTGCTTTTTTCAAACAGATCCCATGGCTTATTTAAGTTCGAAAACCCCTGAACTGCATTATGTGTGTGTGGGGGGGGGAGGTGGGTGAGGAATAGACTCTCTGCCCTGGTTGGTGACTGTGGGTATGTGGTAATACTGGATTTCTGCCCTGCACAAGGGCATGGATTAGATTATTTCCAAATTTCTTTCCAACTCTTATAGTCTATGGTTATATGATCTTAGATGATGAAAGCTATTGGAAAGCAAGAAATTCAAGCTGAATTTGATACTCCTAAAGGAAACCTTGACCTCTTTGAATCTGAAGCATAAAATTAGAGTACTGTATTTCTCATTTTAGAGACTGATAATTCATCCATGAAATTTTGAAAAACAATTTTTTCCTATTTTAAACTGGGCAGCCACATAGAGTACAGCCTTGACCTGTAATAATCTGGATGATTGCTAGACAGTTATTTGGATTTTTGAAGACCAAATACGGCAGTTCTGAAAACTGAGGTTGCAGAAATTGGGGGAAAATATATTGTGAGGAATATATTATGAAGGCTAAATGTGTACTGTGGAAAGTAGGATCTTTTTTTTGTAGGCATGCCATTTATTTCATATTTTAAAATATCATAACTTAAAATCAGCCAGTTACTTTTCCAAGCAACCAGCAAAATACTGTAATGATATCAAATATCAATGAAAAAAGTCAAGCAGCATTGTACAATTATATCTGATTGCTTTGACCATCTCTACTGGAACGTAACGCTGAACCATCTTCTAGTGAAGCAGATGGAACTTTTTTTGAGTTCTTCTTTTTCTTTCTGACTGTCTTGACCTGAAGGTAATCCTCAATGGGTTTCTCATCTGGGTCTTCCAGTAATGTTGTCAATAAATTAAACAGTAGTGCTATCCAAGCAAGTCCAAAGATAATCCAAATCGCTACCACAATCCGATAGCCATGGAAGTAGAATTTGTCATGTTGCCTCCCTGGAAACACAGGAGTAGGAAGAGCTGAATAAGGCAAAATAATTTAAAAAGCTAATGCATGTTATCTGAACTTCTTCACTTAGCTTAGAGGAAGAAAACTGCATCCCAGGGAGACTAAATTGCTGATGTTGTACTCTGATTAAGGGCTGCTTTAGACATAATGATAAATAATTTTATTCATGATAAATTGTTATATATTTTTTATTAAGTATGCATTTAATATTTACACTGCATTTTATTATACTGTATATATTAATTTTATGCCATCTATCAGAAATTGAGCAAAATCAGTGAAAATGCAGGGTACATATTTTATGTACTATCATAATAAACAAAATAGTAATGCCTTTCTGTCTTTAATTGCATCATGATTGCACATTCTCCTTCCTTCATTTCCTCCCTCTCTGAGTTGTAAATTAGAGCATGATGTTTTCTTCCAAACCAGATAAACAATGTATATCAGTGTCTTTCAACCTTGGCAACTTTAAGATGCGTGGACTTCAACTCTCAGAATTCTTCAGCCAGCATTCATGCAGAATTTCCTTGTTGACATTGGTATAGTCTGCTCCAAAGACAGGGAAGCACAAGTAGTAGAAGAGCTGGGTCTTCTTTGTTGAAGGAATTCTTGCTTAAACTAAATGGAAGGGGATCTTCTCAAGAAAAGGAGAAAATTAGGATCTAAAAATATTAAACTTGTTTTGCCTAATGCATGACACTAGAGTGTAGTTATGCCTTGTGTGCTGTCTGAACTCAGCCCATGGGTTCAATCTGCTAGCTCAGGAATTCTGGGAGTTGAAGTCCACACATCTTTAATTACAGGTAGTCCTCAACTTACAACCACAATCGAACCCAAAATTTATGTTGTTAAATGAGAAATTTGTTAAGTGAGATTTGCCCCATTTTATTACTTTCTTGCTACATTTGTTAAGTGAATCACTGCAGTTGTTAAATTAGTAACATGGTTGTTAGGTGAATCTGGTTTCCCCATTGACTTTGCTTGTCCAAAAGTTGCAAAAGGAAATCACATGACACTGCAACTGTCATAACTGTAAGTCAGTTGTCAAGCAGCCGAGTAAATCACATGACCATGAGGATGCTACAATAATCGTAAGTGTGAAAAATGATCATGAGTCACTTTTTTCAGTGTGGTTGTAACTTCAAACAATCACTAAATGAACTGTTGTAAGTTGAGTGTTACCTGTATAGTAAATGGAAGCTGATTGTTCTTGCTTTCTGGGGGATGTTGCTTCAGATCACTGAACTTAGGACTGTGCAGAGTGCACCCAGGGACGTTCAGGTATGCAGCAACATTCCTTTGAATGTTATTCAGCAACCACAGGCTAAAAAGGTTCCCAAGCCAGCCTTGTGTTACAATAATAATAATAATGATAAAGTTGGAAGGGATCTTGGAGGTCATCTAGTCCAACCCCCCTGCTCAGGCAGGAAACCCTATACCATTTTGGACAAATGGCTGTCCAGTTTCTTCTTAAAAACTTCCAGTGTTGGAGCATTCACCGCTTCTGGAGGCAGGTTGTTCCACTGGTTAATTGTTCTATCTGTCAGGAAGTTTCTCCTTAGTTCTAGGTTGCTTCTCTCTTTGGTTAGTTTCCACCCGTTACTTCTTGTCCTGCCTTCAGGCGCTTTGGAAAATAGCTTGATTCCTTCTTCTTTGTGGCAGCCCCTGAGATATTGGAACACAGCTATCATGTCCCCCCTCGTCCTTCTCTTCGTTAAACTAGACATACCCAATTCCAGCAACCGTTCCTTATATGTTTTAGCCTCCAGTCCCCTAATCATCTTTGTTGCTCGTCTCTGTACTCTTTCTAGAGTCTCAGCATCTTTTTTACATCGTGGTGACCAAAACTGGATGCAGTATTCCAAGTGTGGCCTTACCAAGGCATTGTAAAGTGGTATTAACACTTCACGTGATCTTGATCCTATCCCTCTGTTAATGCAGCCTAGCACTGTGTTGGCTTTTTTGGCAGCTGCAGCACACTGCTGGCTCATATTTAAATGATTGTCCACTAGGACTCCGAGATCCCTTTCACAGTTATATGGTGAGCACATTGGTTGCAACCATGTACCTTGGATGTCCAGAATAGGTTCTCTTCGCCCCTAAAGCCACTGTAAAAGTCGAGGCTCCTTTAGTCTCTTGACTGCATCAGAAAATAATGTATCATAGGAGCCATCATGATCCAAATAGGAAGTATTGTTTCAAAAATGTTATAGGAAAACTTACCTATCATATAATCACCAAACCCAATGGTGCTCAGGGTAATAAATGTAAAATAAATGGCTTCACTATAGGACCAGCCCTCTATTTTTCGAATGATGACTGACGGCACACAAAGAAACACTAGTATTCCCATAACCAGGAAGAACAGAAGCGTCAAGCCCCTTGCTGTTTTCTGAAAAACGAAGAAAAAACACTGATTTGATACAAGAAAATTGCCCTTGATACAGACAGCTACTTTTGCCTGCTTGCTTGCCTGCTTGCTTAACTTATTTCCAGGACCTCTATGGTCTTATATTGTCTCTAGTCCTCAAGTTACAACGACAGTTGGGAGTACAATTTCTGTTGCTAAGCAAAGCAGCTGCTAAGTGAGCTGTGCCTGATTTTAAGACTTTTTTTGCCACAGTTGCTAAGTGAATCACTGCAGTTGTTAAGTGAATCAGGCAGTTGTTAAGCAAACTGAGTTTCCACCCATTTTGATTGCTTGTTGGAAGCCAACTGGGAAGAATGCAAATGGAGATCACGTGTTCCTGGAATGCCGCAACTGTCGTAAATACATGTTATTGCCACACACCCAAATTTTGATCCTGTTACTGTGGCAGTGTTGCAACAGTTGTAAGTGTGAGGACCAGTTGTACACCAGTTTTTTTCAGTATCACTGTAATTTTGAATGGACACTAAATGAATGATTGTAAGTTGACGTCTATTTGAGTATTCATGGGCTGCATGTTATGCTTCCACTCTATTGCACAGTGTTACAATGCATTTAGTGTACTGATCTGAGTGCTATCTTTTAAGCCTTCTTTGGAGAAATTGCCCCCCCCCCCTCAAGTCCAGTGCTGTTATTGGGCAGGGCACATATTCCTGGGAGGGATGAGCAAAGAACGCTGTGAAAGGCTATACTCCCACCAGGACCATCTAAGCTAGGAGTGAAGGTCATCTCAGCTCCACAGCTAAGTTAAACAGACGTCTATTCAAGCAGCAGCAGCAATACAGAAAGCCTGGCAGCTACAAAGGCATAATTTCAAACTGTATGTTAAAAGACAGTGATAAATCACTCATAATCAATTATGAATAAGATCTATGAGATCACCAAGAATCAAGACTGCCTTGATGACACACACCAAGTGAGAAAAATTAGAGGATTTCATCTCCCAGAATTCCCCAGAATTCTTCATGAACGCTGGCTAAGGAATTCTGAGAACTGAGGTGCACAAGTCTAAATGTTTCCAAGGTTGTATACTCCTGTTTTAGGAGGAGTTTGGAGTTTGGAGTCACTTGGAGTATTCTGCATATCGGAGAGCTTCAGGCTGAGAGGGGAGATATTTCTGCCTAATAATTTGCTTTGAATTTATCATATTAAAGCAGAGATTAGACATAAACCTCTCTAATGGTACAATCATTTGATGCAATTTGGAGTTACTTCAGTAAAACAGGAGCAGATTTCTTTTAAAATTTGAGATATTGTGCCCCAGTTTGGCCTGCATTAAATGAACCATTTGAATTTTGCTGCCTCTGGTTGTGCACATTAACTGACCCATGAATCAAATTAATGGACTAGAAATATTTTGTTTCCAGAAATGGATTTAATGAAATTACATGGCTATTCAATATATCCTGATAGCTACATCACTGTAACTTTAGTGTGTTTTGTTGTGCAGCTGCAAAACAGATTTAAATGATGGTTGTTTCTGCATAACTGAAGCATGAATCAGACTGTTCTTCAATTAAATTATCATCTTAAGCTCTTTGGCTTATTTTCAGAAATAATTGTGGAATAAAGTTTTTTTTTTTATTATTTTACCTTCTTTACACCTTTCCTAAACAGCCATTTAGCTAACCGTTCACAGACCATGGAGAGCATCTTGCCAACATGCTGCAAAAAGACAATATTCAGAGGAATTCCAAAAAGAGCAAAAAAAACACAGAAAAGCTGACCACCAGCCGTTTTGGGAGAGAGGTTTCCGTAGCCTGTCAAAACATGAGAGTCACAGAGAATATACTGGTGAGCATTATGACTATATTGCAACAAAAGGTTTCCCCTTTATCCTGAGCAAATGACACAATAGAATTCCAATTAAAGATGTATATTATTTATTATTGGTCAGTACCTCCTTCCTGCATTTGCAAGCAAGATACAGTTAAAAAGCAATTATTTTTCCTTCAAGAATGTCATTAATTTGAAGTTTCCAGATGCTACTTTCCAGTTCCTTGAGTTCTACGGGGCCTTCATTTTCTTGAATCATCCTTGATTATCGTAATAGCTGGGTTTCTTTACTAGAGATATCCAACTTTTTTAGGACCAAGATAAAAAAGTGGCTGAGGCGAGAACTAAACCTAGATATTATATGTAATTATGAGGCCCCTCTGCATGTCTTTTATCATTTTCTTGCTCTTTGTACAAAAAAATGACTGTTCCATGGCAACTTGTGGGGGGTGTCATGGAGTTGAGAAACAGCTCTAGTGACCAATGCCAAAACAGTTTGGGATCTTAAATAATTCACACATATTTTTATAAGAATACTTCTATCATCAGAATATTCTCATATTACAATAGTCCTGCAGTTGCATTGACTCAGGTTTATTTGCACTCTAATGCATGCAGTTGAAGTAAGCAACATTTTCTACATGGTTTAAAGAACAGACAATGTTGTTTTAGGCTGAAATCCCAAAAAGATTTAGCCAAGCAACCCAAAATAATCAGAAAACCTATTTATCTGTTCTTCTAAATGAGCTAGCCAAAAGTTAAAGTAGCCTGGGATACATCAAGTCCGAAGGCTAAGCCTTCCCAGGAGACCCAGACAAGCTCTATTTCTTGTTCACCACAGTTTCAAGCAAATACTGACAATATCCCAATCAGCTGCCCTTGTATTTGTCATGTGTTTAGTAAGTGGGAGAAGATTGTTATTATGTCTCCCATGTGGAAAATATAAAATAATGATATTCTCTCATATACTAGACACGATAATGTGTAAAGAAGAAATGCATCTGCGGGAAAGTGTTTGTGGTTTTAATATAGTCCATTTAGAAGAATTGGTATGACAAGCTGAATAAAAGCTGTGATTTTGCACAAATTTTCTTGAATTGTGCAGGAAATGTGTTTGTTTATTTATTTATTTATTAGATTTTTATCCTGCCTTTATTACTTTGTACGTAACTCAAGGTGGCAAACACGTCTAATTCTCTTCCTATTTTCCCCACAACAACAACCCTGTGAGGTGGGTCGGGGTGAGAGAGAATGACTGGCCTAAAGTCATCCAGTCAGCTTTCACGTCTAAAGCAGGACTAGAACTCATGGTCTCCAGGTTTCTAGGCCAGCACTAAAATGGCTCTATAGAATGTTAAAAAGTCTAAAAAATATTTTTTAAAAATCTAAATGTCTCTAAATAATTTTAAATGTTGGATTGTCATTGGGGCTAGGCCAGTGGTTCTCAACCTGTGGGTCGGGACCCCATTTGGGGTCAAACGACCATTTCACGGGGGTTGCCAAACAACGCAGTCCGCCACTTTTTCCCCCCTTTTCCTTAGCTGTGCTACTCCCTTTTATTCTATTGGCTTTTGAAAGCCAATAGAATAGACTCTCTTGAATAGAGTCTAATTCTATTGGTTTTCAAAAGTCAATAGGAATTGTCCAGGCTGTCTCTGCCCTGCTGAGCCCGCCAAAAGTCCCATTCTGCAAACGGTGCTGCACCAGTTGAGTAGTCCTTGACTTACGACTGGTTGAGTAGTCCTTGACTTACGACCGGTTGGGGGTCGCGGCATTAAAAAGGTTGAGAATCACTGGGCTAGGCTAATAGTTCATTACTGTGACCTTTTGCATTGGACAGAAGATTTTCCCACAGCAGTCTGTTTCACAACATTGCTGTATCATAACATGAGAAAATGTCATGTATGGGCCTGTGAAGGTTTGGGTGAATGGAATGGGGTTAAATGGATTTTTCAAAAGTTATTTATATTTATGAGCAGAGTCTTTCCACAGCCTTGTATTTTATCTTCTTAGCTGTCTCCCTTTTGTAAGATCTCTTTCTACATATGAATTAAAGCAAGTGTAATCAAAATTTTCAGTTCATGATTTTGCATCACTCTGTACGTATATATGCTGCCCTATTTCGTATTAACTTAACAATTGTCACAAAAATGAATTATAGTTTGTTTGATTTTATAAGAAAGAGGAAGTTAAGATCTGGGAGTCTGAAGCATAAAAATGACTCTTGAAACTAAGTGCAATAAATGTTTCTGAGGAAAATTATTTCAATATAATCAGTATTCAAGTGCACTGCCCCAAGTGACTTTTGATGAGACGGTTGGCTATATAAATGTGATTAATAAATAAACAAACATTTAAGGGAGAAACATAAGCAGTTTACCTATTGTGGATAACATAGAACCGACAAAGAAGAAAGAATTGCTGAAATCCCAATTGTTGTGTTCATCAGATAATTCATTTTCTGCTGGATATTTGCCCTTCCTAACGGCTTCCATCAGATTCTGCAATTAAGATGACATTTGACATTTAAATAACCATAACTGATTATCAAATAACATTTATCTTTATATGCTTTTGCTATTAAGCTGCATCTTCTGATTCTAGGAATGTCTACCAAATAAAATTGAACTAAAAATAAAACCTTTTCAAAATATTATAGCCTTTTCTTTAAAATGTCTAATACATACAGCTTAATACATCAATTTCATAATTAAGAAGGGAAAGGAAAGGAAAGGAAAGGAAAGGAAAGGAAAGGAAAGGAAAAGAACTTTTGATCTGGCATCAAAAATAATAATATGTAGTGCCAGTTGCATCTCAATGGGCTACATGAATCATACAGTAACTGAGAACGTTTCTCCTTTTCAAAGTTTCATACTGTATGAAATAAAAATAAAAATAAAAAACCCTCCACTGATCATATTCAAGGCACCACAGTTTTTGGATTCATTATTTTTTGTATTCAGTTCAGAAAGAATGACCTACCTCCACAAAGATATTGACCTCTGCAGCACTGAGGGAAGTGAAGTTCTTCAGAAAGTCCTCCTTCATTTTAAAGATGATGCCTTGTTGTAGTCTCTCAGCATCTTTTTCCAGAACCTGGAAGATGAGAGCACCCACCAGGAGATAAGCAAGGTAGACAGCTGCTAACATACAGCTCTGTAATCTGCTGTAGATCATGGTGGCCTGTGGGAGAAAGGAAGCAAAAAACACAGAGAGGCTGGTAAACACAGCCTTATACCTAATCTTTCCAACTCTGATTAAATGAAATCCCAGCTGGACAGTTCCCATTTCTGCTTGGAATTTGAACTAATACTATCAATCTTGTCTTCCCCCCCCCCCCATAATAGCTTAGGGACTTCCTAAGTAAAGCAAAATATTGTTTCACAAACTTCCCAGGAGAATTTTGTAATTGCTCTGGCCTCACTCCCATAATTTTTTCAGTTATTTTTTCTTTCCATGATAAACCCATTAAGTGGAACTGGCTTCACAATATTTTTTGATAGCACTAACAACTGCCTGGAAACATCTTCAGTAAGAAAAGCTCCAGGCAACTAGTCATTCTATCTCCTCACTCTTCCGATTCCATTTTAAAATGCAGCCCGGACTATTAAAGCTATTTTCATTATTTGCCAGGATCAAGATTCTATAAATGTTTGCAAGTCTAAACAGCTCATATAAAACTAACAGCCAATCAACACTTGCTCTTCCTGGCAAATAACTGAACACAGAGAACCAGAAGCCAATCAGTGCTCATCTGTTTCACACTTAAACACATTATTATTATGATTGGTCCCACAGTCAGTCAGATGTTTAGAGGGGATTTTATCCATCTATAGCATCATTCTCAAAGACCTGGGATAGAAAAATGAGATAGTAATAACAACATATTATTAAAATATTAACATTAAAATAAAATAATATTAGTACTATATATACAATGAGAAATCAATTGTCAGCTGGCATTATTATATAAAAATTATGAATACAAATTATATATGAATAATAATATAATATAATAATATAATATTGTATTGTAATGTAATGTAATGTAATATAATATAATATAATATAATATAATATAATATAATATAATATAATATTTCTGCCAATTCTCATTGACTCTGAGCAATTATAAATTGTTAAAAATATTTTAAAACAAATAACAATGCAAGAAACACAAAATAAAACATATCAAGAGCCATGGTGATACTGTATTCCCGATTTTTATCATTGCAGATTAATGGGCTTCGTCTCCTGTGCCAACAGCACTCTGTATGACAAAACAGAGGAAGGTGGATATATTTCTTGCTAAAATAACAGCCCATTGAAAAAGGAGGAGAAATCATAGCACTGGAAAGGACCTTCTAGTCCAACACCCTGCCCAAGGCAGGAATCCCTTATTCGATCCTGGACAAATGATTGTCCAATCTTTTCTTGAAAATTACCAGCAATGGAGCACTCACACCTCGGGGAGTCAAGCTGTTCCATGGACTAACTGGTCTCACTCTCAGGAAGTTTCTCCTTAGTTCCAGGTTGCTTCTCTCTCTGACTGGCTTCCACCCGTTGCTTCTTGTTCTGTCCTCAGGTGCTTTGGAGAATAAATCGACCCCCACTTTCCTGTGACAGTCCTTCAGGTATTTGAAGATGGCTATTAAGTCACCCCCTAAGCCTTCTCATTGTTAGGCTAAACATACCTCGTTCCCTTGGCTGTTCATTATAAGATTTAGCCTCCAGAATTCTTATCACCTTTGTTGCTCTTATGTGTGCTCTTTCTAAAGCCTCAGTGTCTTTTTTTGTGTTATGGTAATAAGAAAAATCAGAAAACAATCTCACAGCACCAGATTTTCCTTAGTGAATGTGACTTCCCAAACCTAAGAACAACCCAAAGAGAAATATTTAAGGAGAGATGGGAAAAAGTATTAAAATATTCTGAAGATTATGACCCAGTTTTTTAGCTCCTATGTCAATTAAATATAAAACACAACACCAATGCCAATTAACACAATTTAAGAGCATTTCCTTGAAGAGGGAGAGAAAGGAAGCAATGATAGAAATTTTCAATCCATTTTGCTCCAAAAGAACATCCAAAAGACAACTCCAAGCCCTTCTCACTACCATCTGAGTAAACAGACCCCAGCAACCATAAGCTAGAATTCAAAGGACAAAAAGACCTTCTAGAGCAGATTAATTTAAGTCACTGGCTGATCCATTTCAAGCAATCTACACATCAATCAATTGACATTGAATTGTCAATTATAATATAAATATTGACAGGCATTGAAACAGATGGCAGGTAAATTCAGAAGGCCACTTGACCCCATAATTAAAACTCTATATTCTGAAACTAATGTTACAAGTTAAGGTGAAATACTTTGAAAACCAAAGTCACTAAACCAAATACCTTATATGCTACTGGACAAGGTCCAAAATTAGGAAAAAGAGAGGTGCATATTTATTTTTTCCTCTAACAACCCAAGAACATCCATCTCTCTCTCTCTCTCTCTCTCTCTCTCTCTCTCTCTCTCTCTCTCTCTCTTATATCCATAAATGAGCATCCTATTCACACATGCACACACCAAATGATGAGAGACCAACTGTTCTCCAGCTGTAGAATATGAAGGTTTCAAGATACAAATCCTTTGGGATTTATGAGCTGAAATTCTGAGAAAATATAAACAAGCTAATTACAGTTTTGGAGAAGATATCCTTGGGGATTCCCTGAAAACTCATAAAAACCATTTTGTGGCAATGAACTAATAAGCAAATGAAATTTGTGCTGTGAATTTCACATCAGAAAGTTCAGATTTCAATAGTTTCAAAAGCAAAAGAAATGAATTCTAATTTAATTTCGCCTGAATTTCACTCTATCTCAAATCAGAAATGGGTGATAGAATGTGTGCCCTCTTCATTTCTTGCTTTATTTGTTCTTTATAAGATTGCTAATCTGAGTATGCTTACATTTGTCTTTCTTCTTCCCAGACACAAATGCATAGAATGCATATTCTTTGATTCTCCTCCTGGTAGGAAATTTTCTAGTTTTGGCTTATACTTACTATATATTGCCTATAAATAAATTTCCTTTCTCTTAAACCTCTAAAATTTGCTTCATTCATTCTTGCTCTGATTCCTTTTCTTGAGGTCATTCACAAATACAGGTGGTTGTCGACTTACAATAGTTCATTTAGTGACTCTTTGAAGTTGCAGCATCCCTAAAGTCACATGATAAAAATTCAGACAGTTGGCAATTGACTCATATTTATGACGGTTGCAATGTCCCAGGGGTCATGGCATCACCTTTTGCAACCTTCTGACAAGCAAAGTCAACTGGGAAGTCAAATGGACTTAACAACCGTGTTACTAGCTTAATAACTGCAGTGATTCGCCTAATGTGACAAGAGAAGTCTTAAAATGGGGCAAATTTCACTTAACTGTCTCATTTAGCAACAGAAATTTTAGGCTCAATTGTGCTCATAAGTTGAGGACTATCTGAATATCCAGAACATTTCAACCTTAAATGATAATAATAAGATTTTGTATTGTTTCAGAGACAGAGGTTAGTGTTGGATATAATATTACAATATAAAACTTTGGTCCTAATTGCATTAAACATAACTCATGGCAAATTGGGAATGACTAAGTATTGTTACTTTATTTCTCTGATATGAAGAATCTTTTTTCAGACCATCTCTCTTTGATTACATTAATTGGATTATTGGTTTTTAGGTTCTTATTCTAAAAGTTTTGTTACAGGTTTTTTTTAATCTTTCACTGTCTGAAACTCTTAGCTGATATCAGATATCAAATTTATATCTATAAATGTAAATAATTCTATTTTTATGTATTTATCAAATTTAGAAACTGTTCTTGTCCCTCAAAGAGATACTCTTGCTTGAACTTTAGAGCTAGGCATGCTTTTATTTAATTTCTGTAAAACATTAAAGATGTGCTCATTTGTCATTTAAAGACTGTTAATTTATATTGACAAATACTGTATAACTTTATTTTATATATTATATTATTACTTATTCTAAAAGAAAACATCATATTGAAAAGCTGGAAAGATTACCATTCTGATGTGCTACTGATGTGCTCAACAGAAGAAGGAAAAGCTGCAGATTGGCTCATGTTACCCAATTACACTTTTAAATCAAGATGAAAAAAAACTTAGCTGCAATTTTAACCAAAAGGATCAACATTAGTATCTCATTTATGCTTATACACAACCTGACTGATTCTGTTCACAGGATATGAAATATGATTCATCATGGTCATTAATTCTATACGTCAGGCTTTAACTTTTTCATCTTGTATGCACTCAAGATGTTTAAAGATTAAGTTGGCTTCAGAATTAGAATTCAGGAATAGTTTTATAAGTTAGAAGGATATATGCCAGTTCAAGAGTCATTCTTAGCAGTAAGGGGCATTATTTTAGACCACAGGTATCAAACTGGTGGCCCGTGGCTGGATGCATCATGTGCAGGCCACACCCACCCTGGCTTCCTAAGGAAAAAAGGTTGTGATACATCACAATACGTCACGTGATGCGATCGAATTTGACACCCGTGCTTTAAACCAATTAAATTGAGCAGAGCGATAAGAAGGCTCCTGTTCTTCCTGTTCTTTGCAATTGAAATATAGCCATAGTCTACATCAGGGGTAGTCAACCTTGGCTCTTTTATGACTCGTGGACTTCAACTCCCAGAATTCCTGAGCCAGCACAGCTGGCTCAGGAATTCTGGGAGTTGAAGTCCACGAGTCATAAAAGAGCCAAGGTTGACTACCCTGGTCTACATTTTACAACCTAGGAATCCGATGGTAGCCAGGATGGTATAACATGTATCATAACACCTTCCAATATGAACAAAATACATCAATAGTGCAGGTATGTAATTGGCATCATTTGAAAATGTCAGCCTTCTTAGGTAAACCAGAGAGGAAACACAACAAGATTAACTCATTCTATTTTTTTCATAAGTCTTCTACATCAACAGAATCCTGAAAGTCTGAATGCACAAACTTCCCACCACCATTCTCAACTGCTTGATCCATTAGGGTAGGTCCTTCCTAAGTTTCTTTCCCTGATCATTAAGACCCTGGGGCTCCTGCCTCTCCTGTCTGTTTCCTAGGCAACTTCTCCTCCTCTCTTTCCCCAAGCTCTTTCATACAAGACATCCATTACACCAATTTATTTATTTATTTATGAGACTTATATACCGCTTTAAGTGCAAGCACTCTCTAAGCGGTGTACACCAGTAAGCAATGTGTGTGTGTGTGTGTGTATATATATATATATATATATATATATATATATATATATATATATATATATATATATATTTACATTGCCCTCAACAATCTGGGTCCTCATTTTACCTACCCCGGAAGGATGGAAGGCTGAGTCAACCTTGAGCCGGTGAGAGTTGAACCGCTGACCTGCTGAACACAGTCAGCTAAAGTGGCCTGCAGTACTGCACTCTAACTGCTGCGCCACCTCGGCTCAATTCAGAAACCTGCATACATATATTTGCCCCTCTCCACTTGCCCCCATATATTTTCCTCTCCTTGTAGGACACCCAATCTGTTATGAATTTCTTCACAAGTTACAATAATTAATACTAAAAATAAATACCATCAACTTAACTGGACAGCCATTTGTCCGAAATGGTGTAGGGTTTCCTGCCTGAGCAGGGGGTTGGACTAGATGACCTCCAAGGTCCCTTCCAACTTTACTGCTACTATTACTATTTTTGTATTGACATAGTGTATATATTTTTACTTCCAATCCAATCAATAGTATTCTATATACATTCCATATAATCTTGGTATGCAAAAATCTAGGAAAAGAAATTAAATATAGAAACTAAAAGATACACAGAATACATAGCTCATTTAAAACTTACCTATTACTGAATCACATCTCTAAGAATTATTATCCTTAAAGATACAGAACAACTTTAAATTGAAATTCTATCTTCTCACCCTGGTTAAAGGGGAATATGATCAAAATGAAGAGGAAAAAAAATCTTCCCAAGTTCCAGGAAGATCTGAGATAATTAAAATGATACTTCCCAAATTATTATTTTTCAATATGAAATTATTACTTCTATCTAAGAACAAGCTTTCTGAATAGAATAGTGTGAGAAATTGTATTAGATCTGCCAGTTCTGTTTTAAACTGTTTAAAGCATCAAGGAGGCTTTGCTATACCTAAACTGAAGTTTGATTTTGATGCATTTCAACTAAATCAATTAATGCATCTGTGTCACCATTATCTGCACGCTAATGGAACTATCTCCTGAGACATAGCTGATACAGTAATTGGAAATATGCACTCTTCCCTTTTACAATGGTAAATTGCTTTTCAATAAAATGCATTACTAAATGGTTTAATGGCCAAGCAACCGCAAATGAAATCTTTAGTTCCTTTTCCCCCTCCTTTGATTTTCTTTCAGATCATCCCAACTACCTATATAAAGATAACTCTTTACTATATAAAGATTGGATGCATACAAAAGCTTTTAGGTTAAAAGATTGTTTCCACAGTGAAAATGCTTTAACCGAGATAAGCAAGATAGACTGCATGGAATATGGATACAATAATTCCAAATTATAGCCATTGCTTCTATTTAATTAAACAACAGGGAATTTTTGAGAAGTTATGCCTACTTGCAATTAATCAACTTAGTTGAATGGATTCATCCCTTTATAGAGGTTTAACTAATATTGTAAACACATCTCTTTCAAAGCTAAAACTGACTTGGGAACTATATCTTGACAAACCAACCATTTATGAGCAATGGCATTAGATTGGGGGTGTCACACTGGCGGTCTGCAGGCCAGATGCACCACGTACAGGCCACACCGACCCAGGCTCCGCAAAGGCAAAAAAAGGCACAATAAGTCACAATACCACACGTGATGTGATCAAGTTTGAAACCCATGCATTAGAATATATTTTTTGTAAAACTACATCTGCTCAAATTAGAGAAGCAACTATAAAATGACATCACCAGCAGCAGTGAACATGAAATTTATTAAAGTCAGAGACCAGTAAGATGGCTGGGGAATTCTGGGAGTTGAAGTCCATCCTTCTTACAGGTGCTGAAGTTGAGAAACACTGGTTTAGAGAAATATGGGGTCTCAATGAATCAGTGGCTTAAAATGTATTGTTGTGAGTACATGGGTTATAAGATGGACTTTGCCAATGTTTTTATGCTCTTTAAAGAGATCTTCAGGTACTTATAGCACAAACTTATTTTCTATTTATTGGTTGGCTTGCTTAGTTATTATTATACTACTTTGTCATCAACATTGCCTGAACCATACATAACAATTTGAAAACTATAACAAAACAATAATATAGCAAGAGACAAAACAACAGGACTAAATCAATAAGATTTAGCTAAAGATATTCAGAAAGGTCAATGGGGGAAACTAACAATACCTATTGAATATGGCAATATTGTGTGGATCAAGATTGTCTTCTTGATATGTTGGAGGTCTATCAGGAGTTTAAAAAGACAATAGAGGAATTATTGACAGAGTCCAGGAGAAGGGCCTTCTCCGCCATTGCATCTGCCCTCTGCAACATCTTGCCCCAGGAGTGAGGCCCGCTCCAACCCTCCTGCCCTGCCCCAAGAGCCTAAAGACTGGGCTCTGCCAGTTGGTTTGGGGCTCCAGAGGAGGGGATTCTTGTTGGAGGTGGTTGATAGATTAATATCAGATCCCACCTCCTCCCAGTTCATCCTACCTCTGCCCTCCCCATCTTTTAGCTGTTGTATTTTGTATTGTTATATTTTTGTAGTATTTTATTTATATAGTTTTATCTTTCAATATTGTAAGCCACACAGAGTTACCCTGGAGTAAGATGGGCAGCCAATAAATTTAATAAATAAAATTTTATATATCTGCTGATGTGGCCTACTGTTTAACTGATTTTCTTTATTCCTCTTATTATTAGATTAGTTTTTTCTTTGTAAATGTGGGAAATAATGGAAGCACATCTTAACCAACCCTTCACTGGTACCACACTCACTTTCACAGATCCATTGCTGCTTGAGTCTTCTTGAATTCCCAACTTCAGCTTTCAGTGTCTGCTGAGAAACTTGGCATCACCCTTTAACTGTATAACTATTTGGTAGGGGCAGTATATCTGTGAGGTCGTGGGCCTATTGCCCTTTTTTATGGACCTGCTTACCTGTACCCCTAGGCCTCTGTGAGGTCATCCTTGTATACCAGCTGGGCAGCATATAATCTCTATGTCAGAAAAACTAATACACATTTTATGGAGATGATCTTATATAGGGAAAAGTTGGGAGTGTTTTAGCAGGGATGAACCTTATTTTTAGAGCAATGAGTTAGTTAAAAGAACTAAAATCAATACAAGCCTTCCTTCCTTTCTTAGGTTTAGCTACACAAGTGAAGTTATAGTATCTGAATATATTATAAGTTATATCCATAGAATTAGTCCCTGCATTTCTTTAGGTGATAATATGCTTTGCTTGATTTTGGCTTCGATTAAATCCTCAAGCACCATAAATCTGGTATACTCCAGAAATCGTGGCATACTGTCAGTCCCTAAATTTGGGCCAGCAGCTCAAGCAAGAACACTACTGGGCATCCAGGGAGACAACCTAACTTCAAAAGCAAAGCCTCACGTGCAGTTAACTATGGAATTGTACCATAGTTTCCAGCAGACATCTCATATAGCAATAGCCATCCCATGTCACATACCCCAAACTCTCAGCTGTTGCCACGGTTAAAATGTAGAGAGGCACTTTTCAGAGTGATATACACCACTCCACATGAACCCATGATAATTCAATCAAGGTCTATTTTCTCTTTCGCAGTAAGGTTGTAAATGAGAAGAGATTTCAATAGAAGAGAATGTCTGGAGCTCAAGAGTTGAACTGGGGAATCCTTGATGTTCTCTGAGTTTGGTTGTTTACTTTCAGATGTTTCTTTATCTGACATCATCATCAGGTAACATCATCACTGTTGATGTTCAGCACTGAAAATGTTACCTAATCAGTTATGACTAGGCAATGAAGCATCCACAAGCAAACAACCAAGCTCCAGAGATTTATTGATTACAAGTTGATCTGGAGTTCAAACCCAGATCTTCCCTGCTGTACTCCAGTAACTGAACTAACCCCCCCAAATGAATTGACTAATGGCAGGAGGCAAGCACTCCTATAGGAAGAAAGTGAAGATTGCATAGAAGAAATAGAAAGGCTTGTCCACCCAGAGTCACTTGACAGTGAGATGGGCAACATATAAATTTAATAACTAAACAAATAGTACCCTACCACTTCCTAATGGTGTGAGGCAGAAGAGTGGGCTTCATTTCCAAGCATTGCCTAGAATTATAGATAAATGCAGCTTGTATTTAGCAGGAATATATTTACCATTAATTTTAATTAATTAGGGAAAGGCTCAGAAATGGGATGTAAAACTGAAGCACAGAAGAAAAAATAGCCCTTGTAGGAGAATGAAACCAGAAAACAAATTTTGTGATACCCGAAAGAGTGTTTCCACACCAAAGGCTTGTTGAATAAGTTGCAACAAAATTTTTAGAGAAGTTTTCCAGATAAAAAAGACTACCAGAATCTTTTTCCAAGCAGGTTCCCTATGTGAGGCTTGATTATCTAAAGTAAAACCAAATGATTTATTAAACCCAAAGAACAATTCCACTGGCTAAGGATAAGTCTAAAGCTGCTTTGTTAATATTAAATATTAATATGTTAATATATATAAATCCAGATTATGACAGAGTTCAGATATTAGCTAAAGCAAGGTTTGTTTTAGCCATGATTTGCTGAGCTGAGCACAAAGGCCAAAGTCACATTAAGCTTTCAATGCTTGAACAAAACCTTGTATTTTCATATGATTAAAATTCATGAGGGTGATGTCAAGATGTTTCCTGTTGCAATCTCAACATTAAATAAAAAAAATCTGTTTTTTTCAATGTGCAAAATCTTATAGAATTGCCAAGTCTTGCATAATTTCAACTTTGTGTGCGATCTTCTGAAATTTCAGCAATTTTATATGAGATCATGCAAGAGTTTGATGAACTTGATGAAACGTTAGTAAATGAAAAAGTGACACTGAACAGTACATTGAACACTGATGATGTTACCTAATCAGTTAATGAAATGCCTGCAAGCAAACAACCAAACTCAGAGATCGCCAACCACTCTTCATGCTGACACATAGATAGTTCTGGCTGTGTTTATCATACAACTCCAGTCATTTCGATATTTAAATTAGTTTTGGGGCATCAAATTACTCAGAAGTGTGTCATACCTGAGGATGTTGCTGACCCCTCCTGACCCATATCCTCATTGCCCATCAACATCGCTCATAGAACAAACATATTCAGGTGACTCAATTGTATTGGACGTTGGGAATTTGAGGAAAGCTTCCTTCATACATGCATTCAGAATTACAGCCTAGATATATGAAGAACAGATTGGAAATTTTAGCTAAGCTTTTCAGACTGCCCAGACTGTCATTAAAGGCAGAAGCTCTTGTGAACCAAACCTCACTTCATTAGATGTCTTTCTTTTGTGAACTGTAGCCCATGAAAGCTGAATGACTTAATAACAGAGTTGGAAGGGACTTTGGAGGTCTTCTAGTCCAACCCCCTGCTCAAGCAGAAGACCCTATTCCAGGGGTAGGCAACCTTGGCTCTTTTATGACTCATGGACTTCAACTCCCAGAATTCCTGAGCCAGCATGGGTGGCTCAGAAATTCTGGGAGTGGAAGTCCATGAGTCATAAAAGAGTCAAGGTTGCCTACCCCTGCCCCATACCTTTTTAGACAAATGGCTGTCCAATCTCTTCTTTAAAACCTCCAGTGATGGAGCGCCCGCAACTTCTGAAGGCAAGCTCTTCCACTGATCGTTTTCACTGTAAAGCTGACACCTTTTAATTATATTTAGGAGTCTCCAAAAGGGGCTACTGGATTTCTTCTAATTCCAGGCTACCACAGATTGACATGGCTCTCTTCTTACAATGTTTAGCCATGCTTTGGAAATTGGATGAACTTAAAAACTTCTATTAATGTATGAATATGGCAATACCTTGACTTAACAGCAGGTTGCAGTATTTAACTTTCAGGAATGCCAATCTAAGAAAAGGAGTAAATGGGATATTGGGTTTGATAGCTAGTTTGTTTGCTCTTTCATTGCTCTTGATTAGGGTAATTTCCCAGTGGGTGAAGATTGCTTCATTATCATACATATTTAGCAGAGCTGCAATATTAACCAGTTGAAATCTTGGCAGGTGATTATTTAGATGTTCCGTAATTCCAGCTCACAACCCAGCTGTTTGTACATTATTGTATAATGCTAGGGGTGGAATAAACCACTATGGCTTGTTCAACTGACCATGATTAAAACCAGAATGGCTTTATGCCAAATCACAATTCAAAGTTTAAAACCATAGCTGGATTTGTAGATAGTATTGAGCCAGAACAAACAAATTGCTATAAAGTTTGTGTAACGGATGAATCCTATCTGTCTCTCAAGTGGTGGACAATGTTCTTCTTTGCAAATAGTTTTGATTTTTGCAGAGTGCAGGTAAAGAGGAGGCAGTGAGGTTACTTCCCTGTGTGCTAATCTTTATAAAGACAGAAATACTAAGGCTTGGAGAAGGTGAACTCAGTACATAAATTACCTCTTATTTAGGGAAGAGAAACAAGGCACACCTTATATTCAAGCATTAGCAAAGAATTAAAAACAGCAAAATATTGCCCACAGTTTACTCATACTATTGCATTCACACATACTATCATGCAGGATGTTTTATGTATGGTTTATTAAACAAGCCATCAAAACCTACTAAAGGTCATGCATAGTAGAAGCATAGATAGTCTGTGAAGTGATCCATTGAGACCTCCAAGATCTTATGACCAAATTTTGACAGGAAAATGGCTATATTAGGCACTTTAATTTTGGTCTGTTTCAAGATTCTTTTGAGATTGGGAATGGAAGCAGTTTCACTCAGTGAATTCCCATCCTTAAAATCCAAACAAAAAAAGTCAAAAAGTTCCATCAGGTGCTGCAGGTGAAGATATTGTCAGTGAGTTTGGGATGTAGCTGGGCTGCCTCAGATATTGTCCACTTTCACAATAATAGACAGATTCACACATCATACTAATGTCATTTACTTTTGTAATATACGAATCTGCCTTTTCTTACACAGCCAATGATGACAGTACTTTGGTGATAGTATGCTCTTTTATATGAGCGGGTAATTGGATGCTGCTGGATGCAGGATATTATTTCACATTATTAAAGTGATCAATAAGTCAGGGATAATCTAATAGTGTCTCCATAATCTGCTACACTTCTGAAATAAAAACAGATCTCTGTGGAATTAAAATTTGGGGGAAAGAAAGTAAAAAATGTCCTCTGTTTTTGCTATCAGACATAGGGGAATAGGAAATATTGAAAAATATAATTTTTGTTTATTCTTTGGAAGGAAGGAAGTTAATTGTAGGAACATTTCTTTTAGGTTATTTTCTTTTATGGAGACATCTAATCATATCTGCCTCCAGAGGTTATAGGTGCTCCGGCACAGGAGGTTTTTAAACAGAAATGGGACAACCATTTGTCTGAAATGGTATCGGGTTTTCTTCTTGAACAGGGGGTTGGACTAAAAGACCTCCAAGGTCTCTTCCAACTCGGTTATTCTGTTCTATTTAACACAATAATTTATTATTTTTGAAGCAAGATAACTTTGCATTTGTTGAGATTTGTTAACATCATTACTTAGTGCATTATGACTTAAGTAAGTGTAAGAATAACCTAACTTTTATTTGATAGGAGATAGGAAGAACTTGTTCCTTTTCTAAGATTTCCTCTAGTGCAACAGTTCATAATATTAAATTCTCCTTTTCAAAAAAAATATTCGATTATTGCTGTACTTATTGCAAAGCTATTATCTAATTTTGCTAATTGTTGTTTGATTATTTGAAAGGAGTATTTGAAAGGACTTGTTAGCCCGTAAGATTTGTTTCCAGATATAGTAGAACGAGTACAAGAATATAGTTGGCTACAACTGCTACAGATGTTGTCTTGAAATTGATTGATTTTTCTTTCCAGCTCATGA